TAAATCAACCAATAGCTAACAATAGGCATAAAATATAAATGCTAATATTAGTGGTAATAAATAGAGCCCTTGAAAAGGCAAAAATACAGGGATCCCAAATTGAAGATTTGTGTGACATTAATATCCAACTGATACCACCATACTTCTTGGTGATATTTTTAATACAAATTAGCAGAATTTAAATGTCAATGCCTTCAATTATTGCTGCTGCCACTATCATATTTTTATATAAATAGGGGTAGAAAATTTGTAAAGAGTACAAAGAATTTTCTCTCTATCTGTGTGTAAATACAGTACACAGATACAAGATATGGCTGGTGATAATGGGCATGTACATGTAGAATGTGATGAAGAAGGCTTGAGTGGTGCAAACAAAATTCAACATGTCTTCTCTACATCAATGCAAGTTCATTTTTATTTTTTCCTTCAACTTTTACGTATTTATATATTTTTTTCAAAGCTTTTTGTAGTTGGTAAAAAAATAGTCGATTTAAATTTTCCAATAGGTGTAACAATGAACCAAAGACGTATGTGTCCGTAGTTGATTCTAAATTTATTAAGAATAATGCTCTCTTGTCGTTTTGATAAGTTAAAACTTTGCAAGTTAGCAGGCCAGAGCATTGGACGGATGAGGAGAAAAGGAAGAAGAAAACTTCTCTTACACTGAAGGAATTGCTGGGCTTGGAGGACTTCCTTTCTTTAGATGTTTGTGCCTTTTTTCCCTCTTCAACCACCGCACCCCACCCCTCTAGAAAGTGTCTTTTATGTAGTAGTGTTCAAAGATTATCTATACATAATTAAAGACGTCGTGTCTCTAATAGTAAAGTCTTCCAAATGATGCGATTCAATGTAGTATTAGAATGACAAAATCTTGCTTTCAAGACTCGTCGCCAAACCTTTATGAAAATTATGCATTTGATTGAGACTTTCGACGAGAATATGATTTCACCCTAGATTTGAAAGGGCGTGCTAAAAACTAAATTTAAATAAATAAATTTGTCTCTATCTAAAAACTTGAGCTTTTAAATGATTCTTGTCTACTCTTGAAGGTTTGGAGAGCCTCAGTGGGAGAGCTGATTGGCACAGCAGTTCTTGTGTTCATGCTTGACACTATTGTGATATCAACCATTGAGACTGATATCAAAATGCCAAACCTTGTTCTGTCAATCCTTGCGGCCATTATTGTTGCAATACTACTTCTTGCAGTGCATCCGGTTTCTGGCGGCCACATGAACCCGGCTATCTCCTTCTCTGCCGCCCTAGTCGGGCTGATCTCCATGTCGAAAGCCTTAATCTACATTATTGCACAATGTCTTGGAGCCGCGCTAGGTGAGGGATAAACCCCATATCAACGACCTTTATTTTGTTCCAAAGTAGTCCCTGAAGTTTACGTTTTGTTCCAGTTTAATGACTTCAATGACCATTCCAAAACAAAATAATGTTCGATAATGAGTTGAGTGACTAACAATATTTTTTTTACCTGACGACAGGTGCACTAGCTCTTAAAGCTGTGGTTAGTAGCACCATTGAACAAACCTTCTCACTCGGAGGCTGCACCCTGACAGTGATTGCACCCAGCCCTAATGGGCCCGTTACGATTGGCCTTGAGACTGCCCAAGCCTTTTGGCTAGAAATATTTTGTACCTTCGTATTACTTTTTGCTTCAGTTTGGATGGCATATGATCATCGCCAAGCAAAGGCATTGGGTCATGTTCTTGTCTTTTCAATTGTGGGAGTTGTGCTAGGTCTCTTAGTGTTCATCTCCACCACCGTCACGGCCAAAAAGGGCTACGCCGGGGCAGGGATGAACCCCGCTAGGTGTTTTGGTGCCGCGGTCGTTAGAGGTGGCCACCTATGGAATAGACACTGGATTTTCTGGGTTGGCCCGGCCATTGCTTGCATGGCTTTCTATTTGTATACGAAGATTATTCCACGTCAGCACCATCGGTCGAAGTTTTATGATCATGATTTCTTTAATGTTGTCAAGGCTATGTTTTGATTTAAAGGTGTCTTCCTTCTTTTGTCGTATTTCTCGCTTGATAATGAAGCAACATGTTAATGTTGAGATGCGTGCCGATAGATGGACAAGTTTTGCTGTAATAAAATAATGATTTTATAATAAATAAATTTTGGTTTTTAATTATATATTGTTATTTTATTTTATTTAATATTGAGCATACAAATAAACTTGTTAATGAATATTTGTCATAATATAAATTGGATACTTGCATGAAGAAACATAAGAGTGACAATACCTATGTTTTTATTATAAATAAAATTGTTAACAACTAATGTATAAGGGTTGACACCTTGTATTGAAAGGTTGTAGCGGTGATTATTCCATCTAAATTTCTAATCTCTCAAAAAAGCAACCTCGTGATTATAGTTTTTTTTTTTTTTTTTTAATATTGGTTTTGTTGATAGAAATTATTTAAGAGTGTGTTTGGTAGAAATTAAAATTGGATTAAAATTGAAAAATTAGCCGTTATTGTTGACTTTTATTAGACGAGTGAGACCCAATAACGGTTATATTTCTCATTTTTAATTGGATTTTAATTCCT